ATCATAAAATTGCTTGTACCATACGCATGCACGCATGCATGCATGCATGCATTCATGCGCATAGTGCCCATCTCTAGTTATATGGTGTGTTAAAATTATATTTTTCGGGGTTTGATCTGTATGATAATTTTAATACTGGCGTTGATAAACTTATAAACTTATAAGCATATAATAAATAAAAGTAAAAAAAAAACGAATACCATTAACTGGCTAAGCGGTTAAGCATAACTTACTCCGGGTTAGACATTAAAATCACGGGTCACGGGTTGGCGGGTAACGGGTCGAATCTCTAATGCTGGGGTAATTTTTTTTACAGGCTTATCTACCACACTACGTGTTTTTTCTTCATATTTTAAAATGTCTGGTCTAGTTGCGAGAATTTTTCGCCCTGCATTACGTACTCTCCAGCCAAAAACTTTTTTCTTAACCTTGCAAAAAAGATCCAGACAAGCTAAGCCCACATACGATCTCTCTGAGTCGAGTAGAATATTCCCTAAATTCGCATCTAGGTTCGAACAAGAACATCTTGATGCACTGCAAGTGAGTTTTGAGCCAGCTGACAAGTATGAAGTTATATCACCTGATATTAAGGTATAAATTACATTATGTCATTATATTAACAATCCACTTAGCAGGTAAAATAATTTAAATATTGTCTAGTCACAATTCCGGAAAAATACCTTCTCTCAAAGGTCAACCACAATATGCTTAAAGATCAATATTCAACGTTGAAAATCTTGAACTTGAGGATGACCGCGTCAAAACATTTGTTGATAAACTACGCGATGTTATCAATAATTCGGGTTTAGATACAGGAACAAGCGAATCTGTGACTGATACACTGGTAAACGATCTGCTAGTTCGTGTTGTCAATTTGGATGATTGACTCTTTAAAGTTAGGTAGGAATCTGACTACGAGAAAATTTTTTGTTTGTGTGGTACACTTCAATCTTTTAAATTTGCCTATTTTAAATTCTAGACTTCAACCACCCCTCGACCTAATTACGACTAATGGATCTGTGTTAGCAAAACCTAAATTTGTAGTTAATAAGAAAAATATTGCTCTGATAAGTGTAGAGGTATTATGGCTTTTGTCTTATGGCCTGAGAAGTCTTAATTATTATTCACTCAGACAGCTTTTTAAAACAGGATAAACACTTAAATAATAAAAAAATCTACCCCTTGAATGGTTATGGAGAATGTTAAATCGGTGCTGAAATACTTGCCTGTGGGTATGAGAATATGATTGATAATAATATTAATCAAGAAATTTTTGCCTTCCGTGTCATCTCTACGTATGTAACGTTTTATCGAGCTGAAATTCCCGCATCATATTGGAAGGAATTTGTTGTAAGACTGCCAAAAAAGCAGTCAGTCGTGATTAAAAGGTGGCCAAAGGAAAATAATAGTAAGAGCTCTGGTTTAAATCTTGCTGAACCAGATGGAAAAAAAGCAGTGATAACGGATCTTACCAAGATTCGTCAACATCTTTTGATTAAATCATAATAGATTATAAGGTTAATTTAGCAGTGTTTTATTTCAGTAATGTGTGATAGGTTTATAGAATCGACATATAACTTCTGAAATCTTGGATTGAGGAAGATTTATTTTTTGCATGTATTAATGAAAATTTTTCTTAGCGTGAATTTTTTTCACGGTGATACATGATTTTTATTTCAGAGTAGTGCGATTTTATTACTTAAACATAATACAAATAAAATAAATTCATTGGGAATAGATCATATTATATGTACTACATTAAATTCTTTTAGAGAGTCCTGGCCAGATGTAGACACTTCTGTATCGGATATTTTAGCCAGAAAAATTCGTTATGCCCAGAATGCCACGAACCTATTTTCACAAATCCGCAACAAAAGAATATTACTATTCTTACAGATAGACGAATGATTCATAGTGTTTGTCTTTAATGTCCTGCTACCAAAGCCGAAGAAAAAAATTATATTTCTCAGATCAAGGCTTCACAGAATACTAAACCCTCGAATCATGACATTCTGCGTCCCCAATCATCACATGATAACTTAGCATTACCGAATGTGAAAACCAAGCTTGAAGCACCTATTATAGAACAAGAAGTCTTAGAGCAAACTCAAGACATTACTAATTTGCAGGATGTGTGTTCTATTGAAGATATTTCTTCCGAGAAAGCTCCATTGGAGGATAGAGAGATGGATACTTTCTCAGATGGAGAATACAAGAAAAAGGTTAGTAATGAAATCAGGCAAAGAAATAGGAAAAAAAGCTTCGAGACTTGGATTTACCTGGTACTTCTGATATCTCTTCGTCAGAATCATCTACAAGTTCGCATCCTATCTCTAATAACCCTATCTTATTAGAACAAAATGCTAAAATAAAAGCACCTGAAATAGATATACAGCCTTTGATACAAGAATTGCTTATAGAACCTTCGGAAGAAGATTGTGTTAAGGTTGTTAATGTGGAGGAGAGTACTGCTGTTTATCAATCGCCTGCAATCGAATTAGCCTATCTATATGAGTGCTGTCAATAGAAAACCTGTCATCGGACATTCAATTATATTTTGTGTACAGTTAGCCGTCTACGGAAAATCTATTGTCATGATATATTTTTCATAGATGGCTAACTGTACACAAAATATAATTGAAAGCCCGATGACAGGTTTTCTATTGATAGCACTCATGAAAAAAACGAAATTTGCTGAAATTAGGACTACACGAGCCAAACAAGACGAATGAGTTGGTATTGCTATAGAAAGTATTTTGAAAAAAGGCATAGTGAGATTTTACCTGAAATCCTAAAGAATGGACTTATTACAAATAAAAAAGCCTATGAACTTGCGAGCGGGCAGATTTATGATGAAATGCTACGAGAGTCTCTCGTGTAAACTTGCACAAAAAAACCCAGCTAACTAAGCCCATATATATATTATTTAGCGAAATTGGAGAAGATAAGATTATGCGAATCAAAACTTATAGTGCAAACAAATTAACTGACATGCAAATCGATACTATTAAAAATCATCTTACTACACAGCGTCCACGCACACACGTGACTTCAGAAATAACACTGCCTCGTATGACTAGAGAAAAAATCGTAAATACATCTCAAACCATACCAGCTGAAGTGCCAGCATTCTCTCAAACCATACCAGCTGAAGTGCCAGCATTCTCTCAAACCATACCAGCAGAAGTGCCAGCATTCTCTCAACCAAATAAGAATATGCCGATCATTCCATATGATGCTCGTACAATGTAACTCTGAAAGAATATCCCTACCTATCCTTGTTCAATAGTGACAGACATATTGATGGATATGAATTTAAAAATTCTAGCCTATGTCCTGGATGTGAAAAAGAGCATGATAAAAGAAAGGTAGTTGGCCAATGCATAAAGGGTTCTTATTAGAGTTGCAGGTGAAACTAATCTTCAATGGTGCACCAGGTGAAACTGGTGCACCGATGATAAAACCAGAGTTATATATGAAGCTAATCTTCAACGGTGCACCGATGGTGCACTAGGTGAAACTGGTGAAATTAATTAGTTTCACCTGCAACTCTAGTTCTTATTACATTAAGTGCCGATCTTCACCTAATGAAAAAAAATCAAGATAAATGCTTCACCAGAAACGATTTCATCAGTCACACCTCATAGGACGACATTCGTATGATTGGTAGATCTACCCGTGATAATTAACCAATCAAATCAATCAAAAAAATTA